GGGGGGTTCTCCTTTGAGGGGCACTGGCCCAAGGGGCAGCACTGGATGATGCTGGGTGGGTGAGAAATTAATTTTTGGTGGTGGGGCGGGGAATCCCTCAAATCTGGGCACTGGTCCTGGGTTTGATACTGGATGATCCTGGGTGGGGGGGGTGACAGTTGCATTCCATGGGAGGGACAGCTAGTCAAGGGGGTGGTGCTGGAGGAGGGACTATAGAGGTGCCAGCAGGCTCAGGTAGTTGACTCATAGTTTCATCAAAAAAGGTGAGAGAAGAGTTTGTGTCACCTTGAAATCTCTGATTCAGTAGGGCCAGCCCCATTGATTGACGCATCCCTATACTCAGCTCTTGGATGAGAATTTGCAGACCCAGCATGCCTATCCCCTACTTCCCTACTAAAAAAACATGAGCTTCTACAAGGATAATTAGCAAAAATACCATCTGATAGGAAGCAAAACATTGCACTATTGAAGAGGGGCCTCCATATGCTTCCAGCAATGGTGGAGAAACAAGCCATGGTGATTTGGAGGCTCTCCCTTCCACTGTACTTTTAATGGCTCCAAGGCTCATGACATGGGACGTATGCAGCAGTAGAAAAGCATGGGGGTTTGCCATAATGGCTAGATGTCAGGCACTGGCAGCTGCGGTGTGGCTGGAGGCTGTCAGGACCAGCTTCTGTTTTTCTAAATTTTGTTCCTCCGGTTTCCCGGGCAACACCGGGTAAGTCCAGCTCGTGTCTAATATATAAAGATAACTTGTATAATATTTTGCCAGGTTTCCCGGAAAGCAAAAAGAGGCATTTTCTTAATTTTCTCACTCTGCAAATATATAAGCTTTGTGCATGTTAGAATAAGCAAGGTCCACATTTTTGTCAGCCAGTGACTGAGAAAATGTGCCTCCAAACTAAAAATGTATCTGAAGGGCTCTCACATTCCCAAGGGAGATTGAACATTTCATTTAACATTCTATTCCTGGAGATTCTTGTGACTCTGGTAAACTGTAGGAGATGCTCTATAGCTTTCTTCTGATTGATTGATTATAGCTTGAATCAGGCAAGCCAGCTCCCAAATATCAATAGGGTCACCTGCTGCTACAGTGAACTTAAACATATTTCAGTGTCAAATTACTCCTGGGTAAGATAGTTAAGAGGACAACCCACTACTGAGTTACATAGCCTCAAATAGACAAAATAAGTCGTTCCAATAATTTTGCATTTTCCTTGTGCCTACTAAACTCTCATGTGATGAAATTGGTCTTATGGACAAAGGGCAGCAACGTGGTGGAAGAAATGCAGTGCATGTTTTTGCAAACTGTTTGCATCTCTTCATTAAAACATAGGTTCTGGGAAACAAAATACACAATGTACTTAAGGTGAAAAATTGGAGTTCAAATGTACAAAAGAAAAATACTTGGGCTGGCTCAGAACCCTTGGCTAGTTCTCAGGTTCCTAGCCAAGAACTGTGTGTGATTTACAAACCCAGTCTCTTACTTCTCAGCACTGTAGAGACTGAATATAATGATATATAGCTTGCTTAGCTTTTGACAGTAAGTACCTGAGACCACTCTACAGTGATTCTTCAAACAAATTTTGGAATATTGATTGACTTTGGAGGTTTCTTACAGCTTTTCTGAGATTGAAAGTAGGTACAGGTCATAGAGCTAGAACTCAGAGACTGTCAGTGGCAATAGAGAAAATGGGGAAACATGCTGAGGATTCACAGGGAAGAGAATCTAGGGCAACTAAGATAGACTGAATTTTGAGAATGGGTGAGAAACAGATCAAGATATTCGGCTATATTTAGGTACTATTAGCATTTCATTACCCACATCCCTATCTTCTGAAATGGATATAAAACAGTGTTCTCTAACATTCATGTAATAGTTGCATATGCATTATATGGCTTGCTGCAAATTCAAAGCATCTAACTGTGGAAAACTGAAACTGCAGGTGATAATTCTGCTGCATTCATAGTTAACATTTCATTGCAGAACCACAAACTGGATTTCATATTGCTTTTAAAATGTTGGATGCAGACGGCAATGAACAAGTTGAAAAAAGGGAGTTCTTTAAGGTATGTAAACACATGTTCATTTTTGAAGCCTACAAATTTTCTGTAGATCAGATCCACCAAATGAACAGTACATTAAAAATTTCGAAGTGTAGTCTTTTGCATCTAATCTATGATCACATCTTACAATAGAGAGAGCCATATTTGTTAATACATTTTATTTATATGAAAGGAATATATAAAAAAGCCTCAACACAAAGTTTAAAAGTAGTTATATCATGTTTGAAGTTAACTTTTATAATCCCTTTCATCTATATCTGCAGATCTCTGAATAGTAGTAGTTGCCCCAAATTTGACCTACCTTAATGTATATTACCTGGGAAAGATCTTCCAATTTCTAAATATTGACTTAAAAAGTCACACTCTGATTTGTTTTAAATTCACTTCTGCTGTTCCACAATAATAAATATTGTTCCCAACATGGTACATAATTTAGATGTGAGAGAGAAATTCTAAGTTTGTATTTGAAACACAAGTGGGGAGAGTGTTCCACAGATGGAAAAAGAAAACTAATGATATTCCTTTAATTGGCTTTAAAATAAGGCATCCTTCACAGTTTTATAGAGTATAAAAAACTATATCAAGTATTTGATAGGGTCCTTACAGGAAATGTATCTTAAATATTCAAATGAAAATATCAGAAACCTGGACACATTTTATGCACTCTTACTGTGATTTCCTATTACATGACTGTAGATAAGATTTTAATAAAAGCAGATATAACTGCTGTCCTCCTTTTATTAATTAGTTTCCAACATTACCCTAATGATAAACAGTACTGTTATCAATGTCAAAAGTATAGTAAAATCCACTTTAAACTGAACCTTAATACATCCATTTGGTAGGGAAAATTGCCAAGGATTCAGTGGAACGTATTTCAGTGACTTTAAACATTTGGATAATGGCACCCCAATTTCTAGCATACATTTCTTAGTGTACTGCCTTTTATTTCATGCTATTTCCCAGCTCAGTGGTGGGTTTAAATGAGTGACTTGCTTTAATGTTGGTTTAGAAAATATTTTAATACTTTGGAGTACCTTTTTAAAGCAATTCCTGAAACTAAGCAACTTTTCCTAGTGCAGTGTGTTCCTGTGAACTTTTAATAATTAAGACATAAAAACATAAGAATGGCCATCCTGGATCAGACCAAAGGTCCATACAGCCCAGTACCCTGTCTGCTGACAGTGGCCAATGCCAGGTGTCCCAGAGGGAGTGAATCGAACAGGTAATGATCAAGCGATCTCTCTTCTGACATCTGTCTCCACCTTCTGACAAACAGAGGCTAGGGACACCATTCCTTACCCATACTGGCTAATAGCCATTAATGGACTTAACCTACATGAATTTATCTAGTTCTCTTTTAAACCCTGTTATAGTCCTACCCTTCACAACCTCCTCAGGCAAGGAGTTCTACAGATTGACTATGCGCTGTGTGAAGAACTACTTCCTTTCATTTGTTTTAAACCTGCTGCCCATTAGTTTCATTTGGTGGCCCCTAGTTCTTATATTATGGGAACAAGTAAATAACTTTTCCTTATTCACTTTCTCCACACCACTCATGATTTTATATCCCTCTATCATATCCCCCGTTAGTCTCCTCTTTTCCAAGCTGAACAAGTCCCAGTCTCTTTAATCTCTCCTCATATGTGACCTGTTTCAAACCTCTAATCATTTTAGTTGCCCTTTTCTGAACCTTTTCCAATGCCAGTAGATCTTTTTTGAGATGAGGAGACCACATCTGTATGCAGTATTCAAGATGTGGGCGTACCATGGATTTATATAAGGGCAATAAGATATTGTCCATCTTATTCTCTATCCCTTTGTTAATGAATCCTAACGTCCTGTTTGCTTTTTTGACTGCCACTGCACACTGCGTGGACATCTTCAGAGAACTATCCACGATGACTCCAAGATCTCTTTCCTGATTAGTTGTAGCTAAATTAGCCCCCATCATATTATATGTATAATTGGTGTTATTTTTTCCAATGTGCGTTACTTTAAATTTATCCACATTAATTTTCATTTGCCATTTTGTTGCCCAATCACTTAGTTTTGTGAGATCTTTTTTAAGTTCTTCACTGTCTGCTTTGGTCTAAACTACTTTGAGCAGTTTAATACCGTCTGCAAACTTTGCCACCTCGCTGTTTACCCCTTTCTCCAGATCATTTATAAATAAGTTCAATAGGACTGGTCCTAGGACTTTCCCTTTGAGAACACCACTAGTTACCCCTCTCCATTCTGAAAATTTACCATTTATTCCTACCCTTTGTTTCCTGTCTTTTAACCAGTTCTCAGTCCATGAAAGGATCTTCCCTCTTATCCCATGACAACTTAATTTACGTAAGAGCCTTTGGTGAGGGACCTTGTCAGAGGCTTTCTGGAAATCTAAGTACACTATATCTACTGGCTCTCCCTTGTCCATATGTTCGTTGACCCCTTCAAAGAACTCTAATAGATTAGTAAGACATGATTTCCCTTTACAGAAACCATGTTGACTTCTGTTCAACAAATTATGTTCTGTGTGTCTGACAATTTTATTCTTTACTGTTGTTTCAACTAATTTGCCCGGTACCGACGTTAGACTTACTGGTCTGTAATTGCTGAGATCACCTCTAGAGCCCTTTTTAAATATTGGCATTACATTAGCTATCTTCCAGTCATTGGGTACAGAAGCTGATTTAAAGCATAGGTTACAAACCATAGTTAATAGTTCCGCATTTTCACATTTGAGTTCTTTCACAACTTTTGGGTGAATGTCATCTGGTCCCAGTGACTTGTTACTGTTAAGTTTATCAGTTAATTCCAAAACCTTCTCTAATGACAGTTGCTTAATTTTGGTACATTTGTTTCTCTCTGTTTGTGCCAATTAGAAGGATTCTACTGAACTGACCAAATAAATGGTCAAGGTTCATTCAGTACCATTTGTTAAGTATAGGCCCAATCTTGCAAAGTGTTTGAATGCACTCAATTCTCGGCAGGTTCTGTGTTAAGCTCTTCCAGGTGTGAAAAAGTTCCAGGAACATGCTCACATCATCATTCAGCAGATGAAAAATAAAACCTAATTACAAAACAGCCGTTTTCTTTGTACATTTTCCATTCTTGCCCACTGATTCTGGTAATCATCCAAGATGATTGTATCAGAACAATCAAAATACATACTAATCAGTGAAATGTGTCTGTTCCAGGTACTATTTTTTAAACAGAACAATACAGTACATTGATAACATACAGGTATGGATGAATCCATTAAAGGAGATGAAAGTCTATGCTTTTCTTGTCTGACTGCCTGCAGTGCCAGTGCATTAAAAGGTCACTTTACCACTGCTTTCTTTTACTGTGTACACCTGCAAGAAGGCAAACAAGAAAATTTACGGTTAAGCATATTGTAAGTCTCTCTTTACATTGGATGTGTTAAGTCACATGTCTGATTTTCATGTTTAAATCAATTCTGATTGTATTATACCGTATTAATAACTGAAAGTAATCAAAATAGTTGGTGATACAATCAATAAAAAAAGTTTAGAATCTTGGAAAGGCAATCATATTAAGTGAACACCATTGTAGTAAGAAAAATTGTTACTTTGCATGCCTTTTTGTATTAAGGAATAAAAATGGAAGTTGTAAGATCTCGTGAAATGTAATACAAACCTGTGCTAGTCATTACATTCAAAATTCTCTTTAAGGATGGGAAGAGGATTGCTTCATCGAGCAAATAGTGAAATTAGATTTTTGTTTTTCTCCCCTCTTCTTGTAAGAGTGGTCTTGTTTTGGGGAGTGGGAGAGTGAAACAAATTCCATGTGGGTACTGAACAGGAAGAGGAAAATAATCTCTGAAGGAATTGTCTCATATGGTCAGATATCAAGCATTTATGAGAAGTGAATATTTTAAAACATTCATTTCTGTGCAGCACTAGTTTGGTAGACTACAATTCAAAACTAAGAATTTATAATCAGACCTTTAGATTTTTCATATCAGCTGTAAATGCACTGGTCCTCAAGCTTTTTAGAATATTAAAAATGAAAACTGTTACATAAATGCTATTAGTCTGCCTGAACCTAGTGTCTATATAGGTAACAAATTAATCTAAATGTCTATATAACTAACACAAATCAACTCACCCCTGTTTTGTCATTAGCTTCCAAAGAAAATTAATTGCAACTATTTTTTTAGTTTATTTTGCCTCCATTTCACAATTTTGCCGCCTCCTGAGTTTTTTATTCCAGTCTCTTCTCAGTGATGTATTGTGTTTATTATGTACAGTCTCACTGATTGATCCTGCAACTGTTATTTTTGATATTACTGTCTTTTCTAATTATATAATGACCAAAAAGCTTCATGTCATGAAAAATAGATTTTCTTTGGAACATTACTTTCAATCTTTTCCCAGTAAAGAAATCAGAATGCACTCTTACCGGTAGCATGATCAAAGGAGAGTGTGTGCTATCTCCCTTGCTGACTGAGTCACAATTATTCCTGGTTCTCAGTGTGCTCAGAAAAGTCTGCTCCATCACCTGGTAAATGGGCCAGTGTCCCTCACATCTGTTGGAAACCCATGAGCAATGTCTAGGCCCCCTAATTCTCAAATATGGAGTGGTCCGCTCCTTGTTCAGAACCAATGGTGCAAGTTACAGCCTTCACTTTATGGGAAAGGTCGGTAAGAAGATAGTGATAGAGATGCAGCCATGTTAGTCTGGTCTAGCTGAAACAAAAGACAGAAGTATGTAGCACTTTAAAGACTAACAAGATGGTTTATTAGGTGAGGAGCTTTTGTGGACACAGATCCATTTCCTCAGATCAATTTGTGGAAGAAAATTGGCACAACCATATATATACCAAAGTGATACAATAAAAAAAATGAACACATATGAAACTGACAAATCAAATTTTAGAACAGTGTATGCACCCACTTTTAGAACAGTGTGTGAAGATGCTGGAAGAGATTTAGAGATGCTTTTTAGCTGTGTTCCATTTTTAATCAACCCCAGATGGAGATGATTCCTTA